AATATTTTATTTATTACACTTACTTTATGTGTATTAGTGTTTTGCCTGCATGTATGTGAGTGCACTACATGCAGGCAATGCTCCGCAGAGGTCAGAAGAATGTGTCAGTTCTCCTGGACCCGGTGTTACAGACAGCTGTTCGCTGCCATGTGGGTGCTGAGAATCAAACCTTGGCCCTCTGGAAGAACAGCAAGTGTTCCTAACTTCTGAGCCAGCTCTCCAGCCCCAACATTCATATTTTTTAAAGAGTGGTATTAAACAATGATGCAAAAAAAAGTGAAAATGAAAAGGAAGCTAAATGAGCAGTGTCCTGGAATTCACTTTTTACTGTCATGGTGGTTAGTGATCCAAGGTTCATATGATGCAAACTGTATGTAAAACTAATGAAAATTCTTGGTTAATCTGATTTAGCCAAACTTCATGTTTGTTATTACAGTTTCCCCCTAGCTTCTTTCAGTCCTTGGTGCATGTGTAATCTTCTTTGATCAGGTTTTGAAAACAGGGGAAGCAGCTTCTCCTGTGGCACCAAAGGGTATGAAAGTCACGAATCTCATTTCTGAATCCAAATAAAGGTACGAATTTAAAAAAATTAGTGATATATTCAGGAATACAAGGCTAATTGTGAAAAAATATTATAATGAAAATTCTGAGATATCTAAAATGTTATCATGTAATGAACTACAATGAATATGCATTAGAATATACAGGTCTGATCAGGAGATGAAGTTTGCTCAGTGAACTGTGTTAAGAAGACTCCTTTGAACCCATTAAGGGCAGGAGCTGAGCTACAGGTGATAGGTGTGGAGGTACAGCCTCTGCCAGGAACTCATTGTCCTGACTTAGAAATCGTCAACAGGCACCTGAGAGATTGACCACTCAGAGGACACGTAGGTCAAGGTTTGAAGGAATAGGAGAGAACGAAGTAAGAGAGAAAGCTGGGTAGATGCTGGGACAAAAATGGAGCAAATGTTAAGAATATCTTACTGGAATGGAAAGGACTTGGTCAGAGGGGTGGCCGTCAGGTCAAAGTCAGTCCCATTAGAACAAGAACAAATCATTGTGAATGTAGTAGCACTTAGAAAGTTTCAGTCTTAACCTTAAAATTGTTTTTTTTTAATTTTAAAAAGAAGATTCTGCTATTCTACAGCTCTTTTCTGCAATTGTAAAATTTCTCCAATTCTTAAAACCAAGCTTTCTCCCCAATTTGATGTCTATACCTTTGGCAGTAAAGCATGGCCAGGATTCGAGTTAAGCAAGCTCTTTTTATTTGTATTTTCATTTGGTGTGAATACGTTTTCATACTGTGCAATCTTTTCAGCACCCAAAATCTCCTAAATTCTGAAATGCATCAGAATCAAGTACTGTGGATAGCACATTATATCAGTCTATTTGTATATTTTTATCAACGTTAATGACCAGGTCACAGTACTAAATATATATTAGTACAAATGATCAAAGGGTTGAAGAATCATACATCTCTGTGGAGAAATATAGTGGTTTGAGAAATATCTGCGGTCTGGGGTGTGGAATTTGCTGATTCCATGCTATAAATGTAATGCTAAGGACCAAGAATA